GTGAATGTTCCAGAAAAATGAAACTCACTCCATTCACCAGTAGTAGTGGAAATAATAATTCGCACTTCTACTTGTCTGTAACTCTTACATATCTCCCTGTGGTGGTCATAATAGTCCCATGAGAGTGGTCATCTATATATATATATATATATATATATATATATATATATATATATATATATATATATATATGACAGGATGACCACTCTCATGGGACTATTATGACCACCACAGGGAGATATGTAAGAGTTCCAGACAAGTAGAAGTGCTAATTATTATTTCCACTACTACTGGTGAATGGAGTAAGTTTCATTTTTCTGGAACATTCACTCATATGGAACCTTGCCCAGGGACAGGCAGAGACTTGCACACTAGATGTACACACGGTTCAAAGAGCATCTTATCCAGGAACCCCTAGACTTGTCCCTAGAGGCATCATCCCCATATGTGGAGACCCAGAGAAGATCAGGTACTAGCCTCAGGTTGCACAGCATGTCAAAAGTAGAACAGAGCCAGGCATGGTGGCTCAAGCCTATAATCCTAGCACTGTGGGAGGCCAAAGCAAGAAGAGTGCCTGAACCCAGGAGTTTGACAGTGAGACCTCATCGCTAAAAAAAAAAAAAAAAATTCAAAATATCAGCCAGGTGTGGTGGCACATGCCTGTAGTCCCAGCTACTCAGGAGGCTGAGGTGGGAGGATGCCCTGAGTCCAGAAGGTCAAGGCTGCAGTGACCCATGATCGTGTCACTGCACTCCATCCCGGGTAACAGCGTGAAACCCCTGACTCGAAAAAAAAAAAGTGGAACAGGCTTCTCTGCCAGTTTAGGCTGCCCTCACTGTGCCCTCTGACCCTGACCCCCAACTGAAGTGCCGAGCAGGTGCTCACCTCATTCTCGTAGACCAGCAACTGCGCCTGGCAGAGGAGCAGATATCGGTCCTTCCAGAAACCCAGGAGGCCCCCGCTGCTCTTCTTGATCCAGCCGGCCTTGTCCGCCAGGCGTGGCCCCCGAGGCTTCTCTCCTTCCTTCACAGCCTGCAAGACACGCCAGGACATGCCCTGAGGGCTCCGACCGCGGGGCCACATGGCCCACAGGCCACACGAGGCATGTGTCCCTGTGCTGAGGACAAATCACATCATCCTATGTGGGTTCTCCCTGAACCCCGAGGGCAGACACTTCTAACCCAGTATCAGGAACAGTAACAGCAATAATAGCAGCAGCCACTTCATACCACGCCACTATATGACGTTTGACACATACAGTCTCATTTAATTCTCACAACTACCCTCCAAGGTGGTGGCATCATTATCCACGTCACAGCAAACTGAAGCTCAGGATGAAGAGACGACGTGCCAGAGTCACCCAGCTAGAGGACAGAGCCAGGATTCAGAGCAGGTTTCCCCGACCCCACGTGTTTCCCACTCCACCAATCTGCCTCCTTGTGTTCACCCAAGCAGTCCACAAATGTACCAAGAGTTCCGTCACAGAATAAAAGCAAGGCAGTCTCTGTCCTCACAGAGTGCACAGTGGGGAAGGAGGGGCGGACAAATAAATAACCAGGCACGAGCATAAGCATCCGTGTGAAATGCTGTGCAGGAAGCAGACGGGAGGCAGTGGGATGGCCATGGGGGACCTGCTGAGGTTGAGGTGACCTAGGAAGGCCTCCCAGAGCAGGGATCAGAGGACAGGAGGACCGGCTGGCCGGATGGCAAACTGCCGCTTACCCCTCTTTTTCAGAGAACCCACTTTGCCGCTCCCGCTTCCTGCCCCGAAGTCCAAGACTTCTCTGCCCTCCTCCTCATCCCCGGCCAGGACTTCAGGGTGGCCACCGCCTCTGGTGAGGATTCCAAGGACTCCATCTTCGACCACACACAAGTTAAATTCGAGCCCTTCTCTTGGACATGGGGAGCCAGCCTGCAGCCTTGAGGCCAGCCACTGACATCTGGTGCCCATTGATTACCTGCTTAGGTGGCTAGATGCCAGGTACATGCCTACCAAGTAGGGTTGGGGTCAGATTCATCTTTGGGTTCCCAGCACCCGGCCCTATTCTTTTACACATGATGGATGCTCAGGAGATATCTGGGAAAGAAAAGAAAAATACAAAGGGGAACCCCACCAAAAAAGAAATTTATTTATTAAAAATGGTGTATTAGCTTGTAATCCCAGCACTTTGGGAGGCCGAGGCAAGTGAATTGCCTGAGCCTGTGGGTTCGAGACCAGCCCAGGCAACTTGGTGAGACTTCATCTCTACAATAAATCAAAAACTAGCCGGGTGTGGTAGCGTGCACCTGTAGTTCCGGCTCCTTGGAAGGCTGAGGCGGAAGGATCGCCGGAGCCCAGCAGGTTGAGGCTGCAGTGGTCGGGAGTGGCCACTGCACTCCAGTCGGGGTGACAGAGTGAGACTCCAACTCAAAAAAAAAAATGGTGTATTTATTTTTCCGTGTTTAAACTTCAGTCACCTTCAAAGTACTTTCCGTTTGAGGCAATACACCTATCAAGATGCTTTTTCCACTGCTCAAAGCAGTTTTTGAACTCATCAATTTTAATGACTTTTAGTGCTGCTGCCATTTTTTGTTTCGCCTCTTCTAAGTGGGCAACATGTTTTCCTTTTTTTATCGGGGAAACAAAAATAGTTGCTCAGGGCGAGATCGAATGAATGGGGTGATGGGGCATGGGGGTCGTGCTGTTTTTGGTGAAAAACTGCAGAACACTGAGCACAGTGTGGGCAGGAACATCGTCATGGTGGAAGAACCAGGCACCTGTTGGCCACAACTCAGGACACTTCTGCAAATCATGACGCAACCTTCTCAAAACTTCAAGATAGCCGGGCTCGGTGGCTCAGCCTGTAATCCCGCGCCTTTGGGAGGCTGAGGTGAGTGGATTGCCTGAGCCCGTGGGTTTGAAACCCACCTGGGCAGCGAGACCTCATCTCTACAATAAATCAAAAAATTAGCTGGGCATGGTAGCGCGCGCCTGTAACTCCAGCTACTTGGAAGGCTGAGGCGGAAGGATCGCCAGAGCCCAGCAGGTCGAGGCTGCGGTGGCCGGGAGCGGCCACTGCACTCCAGTCTGGGCGACAGAGTGAGACTCCAGCTCAAAAACAAAAAACAAACAAACAAAAAAACTTCAAGATAAAAACTTTAGTTGAAGCCAGGCGTGGTGGCTCACACCCGTAATCCCAACACTTTGGGAGGCCCAGGTGAGAGGACTGCCTGAGTCCACGGGTTCAAGACCAGCCTGGGCAACTTGGTGAGACCTCATCTCTACAATAAATCAAAAAATTAGCTGGGCATGGTGGTGCAGGCCTGCAGTTTCAGCTACTAGGAAGGCCGAGGCAGATGGATTGCCTGAGCACAGCAGGTCAAGCCTGTGGTGGCTGCGAGCATGTCACTGCACTCCAGCCTGGGCAACGGAGTGAGGCTGAGTCAAAAGACCAAAAAAGAACTCAGAAATAAGGCCCCAGTTAAAAGAGGCACAGGGTATCCCTCTCCCCAGGGATACCCTGTGGCTGCCACAGCATTTAGAAGGACAAGCCTAGGCAGATAACAGTGTGGTGTGCTGTCAGCTGGACAGAGCCTTGCTTCTCTGCTGGGGCAGGGGAGCCTCAACCGGGTTTTCACTGGAGCCCCTTCCCCCTCTTTGAGCTGGTGGTTGGGAGTCTGGGATTTGGGAGCCCCAGACATGTAGATTGAGACAAACCACTTAACTTCTTTAAGTCTCAGTTTCTTCATCTGTGACATGGAGATATTTACAGCAGAAGCTGTAAGGAACACACCACCATGAGGGCAGCAATTTCTGTTTTGTTCGTAGCTGTATCCCCAGGGCTCAGTGCCTTGCTAGATAAACATTTACTGCTGAGTAAAGATAAGGTATACAATACAGTTCCTAGGATACCCTAAACCTAGTAAATAGTAGCTGTCATTGTTACTGTTGTCACTGCCATCCGTCTGGCTCTCAGAGACCCTCTCCCTGGACCTAGTTCTCAATTCGGTGAAAGGTATTTCTGGACAAGATCTTCTGGCCTTCAAACCCCAGAAGCTCCAGGAATGTGGGGTGTCTCCCTTAGGGTCTCCCCCTCACTTGTAGATGGCAAGAGAAATGGGGAAGTGGGATGGTCCCAAATGGACTTCCTGGATACAGGAATGAGGAAGTATGAACCTGACCAGTTATAAGCCACTCTGTCCAGGGGAAGAGGGGACCTCAGTGCTCTGTGAAAAGAGGAGGGACGCCAGGCTCGTGGCTCAGCCTGTAATCGCAGCGCTTGGGGAGGCCGAGGCGAGTGGATTGCCTGAGCCTGCGGGCTCGAGACCCGCCCGGGCAACTGAGGGGCAACTTAGCGAGACCTCGTCTCTACAATAAATCAAAAATTAGCCAGGTGTGGTAGCACGAGCCTGTAGTTCCAGCTACTTGGAAAGCTGAGCAGAAAGATCGCCGGAGCCCAGCAGGTCGAGGCTGCAGTGGCCGGGAGCGGCCGCTGCACTCCAATCTGGGTGACGGAGTGAGACTCCGACTCAAAAAAAAAAAAAGAAAAAAGAAAAGAGGAGGGAGGCTCTCTCACCCCATTGTGCACACGACTCCCACTCCTCACATCCCTACCAATGGCCTGCGTTCGGCCCCCCCTAGGCTCTGTGACCCTCAGGGGTCTAATCCCTTCAGTGACTCCTGCAGGCCATCAGAGGCACAGGGCTGAAAGGCAAGAACTGGGAAATGGAAAACCCCACCCCCACACTTCTCATTCTCACACCCCTCCCACCAGCAATTCCAGCACTACTGGCCACCTCCTAGGTCCTCTGTGCTGCGATGGGCAGATTGCATGGTGGCTCACACCTATAATCCCAGCACTTTGGAAGGCCCAGGTGAGAGGATGGCCTGAGCCCACAAGCTCAAGACCAGGCCTGGCAATTTGGCGAGGCCTCATCTCTACAATAAATCAAGAAAAATTAGGCCAGGCACAGTGGCTCAAGCTTATAATCCCAGCACTTTAGGAGGCTGAGGTGAGAGAATTGCCTGAGCCCATAGGTTCGAGACCAGCCTGGGCAACTTCCCAAGACCTCATCTCTACAAAAAAACTAGCCAGGCATGGTGGCACATTCCTGTAGTTCCAGCTACCTGGAAGGCTGAGGTGGAAGGATCGCCTGAGCCCAGCAGGTTGAGGCTGCAGTGGCCATGAGCGTGCCACTGTACTCCAGTCTGGGCAACAGAGCGAGACTTCAACTCAAAAACAACAACAAAAAAAAACAAGGCAGTGGGGACTGTGGCGTGGGAAGCTGCTGCCCTATCTCCCATCTCTGTGCTCCAAGCTCATCTCCTGCTTTCCAGGCCCTCTCCCGCCCATGGGATCTCACATTCCCTTTTATTTTTAGTTGGGGTCTCACTCTGTTCCCCAGGCTGGAGTGCAGTGGCGCAATCACAGCCACCTCAGCCTCGACCTGCTAGGATCAGAGATCCCTGCACCTCAGCCTTCCAAGTAGCTGGAACTACAGGTACCCGCCACCACGCCTGGCTAACTTTGTTTTATTTATTGCAGAGACGACGTCTCCCCATGTTTTTCCTGGCTCAGGCAACGCTCTTGCCTCTGCTTCCCGAAGTGCCGGGGTCACAGGCGCGAGCCACCACGCCTGATCTCACACACCTTTCAAACGCTCCGCTCGAGCCTCCGCTGGAAGTGCCCTGCCAGCTGAGAGTTCCCCGGGGGCAAGGCTGGAACCTGTGCCTACATCACTGTCACTGCTGGGCTGGGTGCAGGACACCCAGGCCCAGAGAACACCAGGACTGGATTAGCTAGAGAAGCAAGTCCAAGGCCTCGAAGGATAGGTGGGACCAGAACAGGACTGGGCAGGACCACGCTTTGAGACCCAGGAGGGGGCGACGAGGGGCTGTGGATGGTGTGCGCCAAAGCGCAGCTGCGGCAACAGCCACCCAGGGGAGGCCTGGCTGCAGGCCAGGGTCCTGCTTGCCTCCACCCTCGCCCAGCCCCCTCCCTGCCCCTCAGACCCCCTCCCTCCAGGAGGCTTGGCTATGCCCCAGTGCGTTTAATAAGGGGCCCCTCCCCTTGGCCGGGTTCACAGGGGAGGTTTTGTCCTGGCCTCCTCTCCTTACTGACCAGCTGACCACTGCTCCTGTCTTGCCCTCCCTGCGCCCATCCGTCTCCACCCAGGTCCCCTCCTGCCCACCATGAGCAGCTCCTGAGGGACCGCCCCATACCTCCCTGGCTCCCCTTTGCCTGACATGGAGGGCCTCTGGTAGTGCGTTAAAAAAAAAAGCCAGGTCACCTCAACACTGTGCACAGAAGGGAATACCCGGAAAACACCACACAGGCTGTGACAGAGACCAGATGTGGCACCTCATATCACAGGCAGCTTATGACAGCCTTTGCCCTTTGACTACGCCCAGTGATGCTCTGACCGAACGCTGCTAAGCACCCACCATGTCAGAGCTCTGTGAGGGGGCATTCACGGGAGGCAGCACAGCGCCTGCCCTGGAGGGATGTCCAGTGTGACGGGTCAACACAGACCCTGCGCAGGGGGTAGGGAGGCATCTCCTGCTTGAGAGGCTCCCACCTGTTGGGAGAGACAGAGCACACGCCCTGAAGGACCCGCCAGTGCTAGCTCTCTGGGGGGCAAGGGCTTGGGGCTAGTTTGGGAGACCCTTGCAGAAGGCAGGGTTTGGGCAGGACTCTAAGGGAAGAGAAGTGACGCGTGCCTTGGCCCGGAGAAGGCCAGTCACAGAAGGACGCCCAAGACCCTACACTCTCTTTTTTTTTTTTTCAGTTGGAGTCTCACTCTGTCACCCAGACTAGAGTGCAGTGGCCGCTCCCGGCTGCTGT